GAGTCCCTTTAATTTCCTCTGGCTCACGCAGAATTAATTCATGGGTACTGAACAAGAATACACTTAGAGGTGGAGTTAGCCTCAATTTCATTGGTCAGCATGATGCAAAGTCAGGGATATCAGTAAGTCACTACAAGTAAAGGCCATATTTTCATAATATTGCTCATAGTTTTTGATATAGACCAAACTTGTTAGCTATCATAATGATTCCCCATGCCAATGTTATAAATGATTCTACTGCATTAAATTATTTTAGGGAGTACATTCAAATTAGCATTATTATGAGTTATGTGCTTGTTTCTCCCTGAAGTCATATGTTGAAATCCTAACCCTCATGTGATAGTTTTGGAAAGTAATGAGGTCATGAGGGTGGAATCCTCAAGAATGGGATTAGTACTTTCATAAGAGGAGACACAGAGAATTCTTCCTTCTGTCCTCTGCCCTGTGAGGATGCAACAGGGCTGAAAACCAGAAAGGTGGCCCTCTTCAGACACTGGATCTACCAGCACTATAATCTTGGACTTCCCATTCTCCAGAACTATAAGAAATAAATGTTTGTTGTTTAAGCCATTGGACTACTGAAGATTTGTTAAGCCAAATCTTAACAAAACCTGATAACCTTAACAAAACCTGATAAGACAAGCATCTTCCTAAATTCTTAAATCTGTACCAAACTGTGAACAATGGGTAATGTTACACTATAACATTTGCACATAGTTGAATTCCAATTCTTGCTTTGCAAATTCCTTTGACTGTATTATTATTAGTACCCAAACTATTGCAGGTAACCATTACTTTATGTTCTTGCTGTTACTTGAAACTGTTGTTTTATCCAGAAACCATTTTTCCTTTCAGTTCCTTGTAGCATAGGCTGTTTTCTCACATATCTAACTGTGAATCATGGTAGCCAGCAGCTAATACTGGTTTCCTCTTAGCTCTTCTTCTGTTAATTTTAGGCTACTGTACTTCCAAAGCACTTCTCCTTAGATGTTTTGACACCTGGCTATAACACCCTCTACTTATCTTTGTGGTGGCCACCCACCTTTGGACCTCATGGGTTCTCTAACACTATGGTTCTCAATGTCAACTGCAAATTAAAATCACCTAAAAAACTCTCGTTCCATTCTAGATCAATTAAATCAAACCTGCAGGGTGTGGTGATGGACACCAATATTCAGTTTTTTAATTTCTTAGGTGACTGCAACAAGAGCCAAGGATGAGACCTGTGCTCTACCACAATAATTAAGGACATTGGCTCCTGCTTCATCAGTTTACTCTATAAACCAATTTTTGCTATCACCTGGAATTTTAATGTTGAAGAGAACAAGCTGTCTGACACTCTGGGTCATAGTTCCTGAACCAGCTCAATGTTATTTCACTTCAGTTCTTATGCACACTCTATCAGTCATTACCTGGAGTACTTGATACATAAAATATTAAATAAGCAAGAGAGTTTCTGGCCTTAAACACTATAGTTGCTCCAGCTTGCTAAGCCCTTACCGTACACTTCTATGCCTCCACCTGGGCAAGGACAGCTTATTGCAAACTTGCAAGGAAACTAGCTTTCTAAGTGTGTCAGTCTTCTCTTGATTCTCCATCTTCTTCAATCTGGCTGATCCTCCATGGTATATCACTCCAATGGCTCTTACCAAGGCTATCACATCTCTTACCCTCTTGTTCCTCTAACATACATACAAGTTCAAATCCATTTCAAACTGAATTTACCTTTTCCACTGCTATGCCCAAGATACTGAGCACCATTGAAGAAAAAAATACAACTAGGGGGGGATAGGGTATAGTGCAGTGGTAGAGAGCTTGCCTAGCATGTATGAGACACTGGGTTTGATCCTCAGTACCACACAAAAATGAATTAAAAAAATAAAGGTACTGTGTCCATATACAACCAAAAAAACTTAGGAAAAAGGAAAACATTTTAAAAAAATGCAACTACAGAGATTTGTGGAACCTACATTTTCATGGTATCCCAACAGCAGTTACCAGAATTACTGAGAAATCTTTTTTACATTTCCCAAATGAACTCTTGCTCCTACTTTTCTTGAGGGATTCAAATAGTCTCTTTTTAATCTCACTCTTTTGCTCCTCACATTAGATGTGGACCTTGATTTCTGTTTTGGAAAGCATAAAAATATTCTTTCTATACTTCAACTGTATCAACTTATTTTCATTCTCATCCACACTTACTTGCCTTAGAAGGGTATTGCTCTAAGCTCAGCACTGCTGACATTTTTTTTTGGCAGATAATTCTTTGCTGAAGGGGGCTGTCCTCTGTACTCTAGAAGGTTTAGCAACATTATTTACGGTAGCTCCTCTGATAGCTCCATGGCTGGGGGTATCAAACTAGTAGGATCTAGATTTGACCCTGAGAGGTCTCTACCTACTAGATGCCAGTAATATCCCCCTCCTTCTAGGTGAAATAACAAAGAATGTCATCAAACATTGCCAAATAATGTCTACTGGGAGGCAAAATCGACATTATGTGAGAACCACTCTTCTAAGTCAAGGCTCATCTATATATATCTTTCTGATTAAAAAACAAAACAACAACAACAAAAAAACTTCCCACTTCCTCTAAGATCACTTGTACCGTTGATGTGTTTTATGGGTCTTGAACCTGTCCATTGGCTTTGTCTCCTTAGTATATAATTTTATGTCTCTCCAATATTAAAAAAAAATCACTCCTGGACACCAGGTCACTCCTCCAGCCACTATTCAATCCTTTTTTATTCTTTTAAGTGAAATGTTGAGAATGACATTCATGAGTTCCCTTGCTGAGGCACCATTCAATTTTTAATCTACCCTTAATCCTCATTACTGCACTGATACTGGTGCAAAGCTACTAGAATCCTTTTGATTACCAAATGCTTAGGTAACTTTCCTGCTTGGCTATTTATGACTATATTCTCCTTGAACTTTTCTCTCCTAGCGTCTAAGGCACTTTTTTTTTCATTCTTTAACTATTTTTTAAAATATTTTTTTCTTAATATTTCCTTTTTTTTGGACTTCCTTAATACTAGTGTTCAATTGGGTTTTATCCTTGGCTGTCTGTCAGAACTTGACAACGCTCTTCTGAACTACAGTCTCTGTTACAAGCTTCTATCTACTGATATAATACAATGAATACACTAATTTCTCTTCATCTAATTTTGAATCTCAATCCTCTCTCAAAATTCAATCCTGCATTTCTGACCTTTGATGAATACTTCTATCAGGGAACACTATAGACACTAATAAATTGAGATGTCTAAAACCGAGTTTATCTCCTACTACTCACCATCCCTTGTCTCTATCTCCCCAAATCTTCCTTGTTCACTTTATAATTCCTACAGTACCACCATCTATTCAGCTGTATAATAAGCTAGGGTTCTTAGAAAAGTCCAACATTCCTTCATTAATCATATTCACTGAACTATAAAATTCTGCCAATTATACCTTATTTCCCTATTTCTCTATCCCCACTAGTTCAGCGTTGCATATTTTATTTCTATGGATTCCTAGTTTCCTTGCACTAGGTTTTAGGTACCTCTTATCCAAATACTATTCTGTCACTAGAACAATTCCTACCCGCCCGCCCTCAGTGCCACAGATACAACCCAGGGACTCACACAGGTAAGCACTCTGCCATTGAGCACAGGCCCTAAAATGATCTCTTTAACATGCAAATCCTTACAAACCACTCCCTGAGTTATCTCTTTCAATGAATTCCGTTTGTCTGGAGAATAAAATTAAAGCATTTTAGCACAATGCAATAAGCTCTCAATAGCCTGGTTCCTGCATTTCTCTTTTCTCTCCATTAGATCCATGTTCCATGTTCCCCAGACCTAATCATTAAAAATCATCATTGAAGTAAGGTATGTGCAAAAAAAATTTTTTTTTACCCTCAAATGTGTTTTCTAAGTTCATCTACATAGAATATATTTTTTCATCCTAAAAGCCTCAAGTCAAGCACTTGAACTCTCTGGGAACTCGCATTGTGCACCTAGTCTCATTACAGTTCCCAGTCTGTTGGAATTTCTCCCAAGTGTCTTGTCTACTCACTCCTGTTTTGGTGGGGACTAAAAATATTTGTCCTGGAACTAAGAACTCGATAAATACAGGTTTAATGGCTGAATGGTACATGACAGGTTCAAAAGAACTTTATCATGATATTGTAATTATATGTTTCTTAACCAATATTTGTTAAAAAAAAAAAAAGTAGATGTCAGTTCACCAGAGTTAAGAAACAGTGAGGCTACTCAATCAAGAGCTACTGTCACTTAGGCAAGAGCTACTGTCACTTAATAAAACAAGATATATATATAAAATGGTGTGTATATATATATATATATATATATATATATATATATATATATAAATATAAATGGTACAGTGCTTGTTAAACCTTTCACTGAAGTATTACTAACATCTGAAGAAGAGTGACTGATGTCTCTGAGGAATCTGATGGCACAGACAAAACAAAACAACAACAACAAGAAAGAAATAACCCACATTTCTATGGCTGATAATACATCCACATTCATTTTAACTTGAAAGTGTTTTAGATTACTGGCAAGTAAAAGAAATACTCCAGAAAGACAGAACACATTTATCGTGTAGACTCCAGTGACCTTTAGCATAAATGTGTACCTCCCAGGTGGAGCTGACAGTAGCATCAATTATCAAAGTTGAAGAAACAAATATAGAGTGGAAATAGCATCACACTTAATGTCACAAGTTCTACTTTGGGGTCTCGTCCTATCACTTAGACTGTGATTTGGGGCGGGGGGGGTCTACTTTATTTTCTCTGAGCCTCCTCAGTTTCCTTATCTGGAAAATGGCTATAACAACATTTGCCTTATGTATTTCATAATGTTGGTGCCAAGATCAAAAGAAATAATGTAAACAATGAAGGATTATAAGCATGAAAATATAGAAACATTTTATGCAGAGAGAGTGAAAAAATTAACATACATATACAATACTTGAATTCTTAAAACAATTACCTTTTGAGGACCTGAAAGCTTTTCTGTTTTGGTTTTTTCCTTGGGGGTTAAAGGAGGGGAGCGCTCCTTTATCTCTGGAGGCAGTTCTTGATATAGTGCTGGAAGTGAAAAAGGAATTTATGTATTTATATTGAGAAGCACTATTTGGGGGAGGGTTATAGTAACAGAGGAAGCATATATGAAATTAAAGAGAAATTAATGTTCAATTCCTTGGTATAGCAACACTCTATATAGCACTTATTCATGATGGAAATTTGTTGACTTAAACATTAGTTATTATTGGACAATTTTTATCAGCAGGATTTCAGAAACGTAGATGGTACCATTCTCACTTACTATATGGTAAGAGAGATGCTTACTTCATTTTATCTCAATCCCCAATCACCAGGAACCTACTGTAAGCAAGGTTGTCTACTAGGTACTGCTGGAGATAGAAAGATGATCAAAAGACAGTTTTTGCTCTCAAGGAGCTTATAATCTGGTCAGGGACAGACATGTTCACAAGTAACTGCAATATAAGATACAATGTGGTATTACTTGAAAGAGAATAACAACAAAACAAAGTAATGTGGGGATGAAAAAATGCTGAAAGAAAGATGTGGGAGTGTGATGGACTTTGAGTAGGCAGGTTTTCACCAGGCAGAGATACAGGAAAAGGATAATTTGGGAAGATAGAATGAAACGAAGAAGCATGGTTCCAGGACTATCATGATGTTGAATCTATACAGTGTTGAACTTTACAGTTTAAAATATATTACTCCACTCTATATGATCTATTAAATCTTACAGGATATTAAACCTACAGAGCTATATAGGAATTTTAAAGACTTAAAAACAAAACTCTATTTTGGTTAAAAGCAACTCTGAAGTGAAAGAAAATGCTAAACTATATTTGATCAAAAATGTACAACTAAGATTGTAAGATATATTAGCTGGCTTTAGATATGGGTTGGTATTATTATTGGGTTTCTTTATCTCTTACAGAAAAGAGTGTTAGATGTGATTAAGGGAAGCTGATCATGTTCTTCTTTCCAGTGACTTAAGATACAAAGAAAATAAGTCCTTTATAATAATGGGGTACCATTTTCTGTCATTGTGCTGTTCTCTTAAAGGACATGGTTCTCAATTGAACAGCAGGTATAGATTCTGTTAATATATATATTCCTTTAGATCATTTGTTTTGCATATTTGGCTTCAGATAAAGATCAGGAATAATTCCTCTTACTATTTTTAGAGTGGAATATGCTGCTGAGAATCATTTTTTTTCCCCTCGAGTGTAAAAACCAGGCAGTTCAGTTTTTGTTAAATTCAAGTAAAAAGCAGGATAAAAGGGAAAAGAAAATTCTCTTCTGATGTAGTATGAGAATTCAATTATTATATTCTTGGGTAGTCTGAAAGTTTTCTTCCCTGTTTGTTCTGGTCTTTACAGTGCTCTTCCAAGAAGCAATGACCGATGCCAAAACAAAAAACTAAAAAAAAAAAAACCCAAAAAACACACCCCCCATCAATTATTCTGGGACATAATAAGGAGTTTTATCAGTTGCAGAATGGTCTCAAGATAAGAAATGAATTCTGTGTACAACCACCAACCATCATCGTAATATATTTCGGAGATTTGACTTGATTATTATGAAAGAAAAACAAATTTTATAACTCACTGAGGATCAAATATCTATAACCTGTCAGGACTTGCAAGCCTAAGAGGTTATATCTATAAACTGAAGTTAAAACACCTAATACCACCATCCCCAAAGGCACACAATCTTCATATACTGCCAGATAAAAAAAAAAGGTGTAGATGTTTTCACTTGAATCTTACAGGAATAATGGACTGTAATACCTAGTTAAAATTACCAAATCTTCCAGAGTAGTTTTGATTGTGGGGCAGCTCTTGATTTTTAGCTACCCCTTTTTAACCTTGGCTGTTGATTCTGTGCAAGAGCCATCACTGGAAAGGAGAGAAAGGCAAGCATGGATATTTTTACATTCTGAAAGTTAGAAGTACTAAGCTTTTGGGAGATGACTTAAATGCTATCTTACATGTACTCAGGAATTAGCTTGTCCTAATATTTCTCCCTTCCTCTCAGATCATTTTAAGTTTTCTCCATTATGTATTTTAAACATAAAAATATACCTCTAGGAAAAGTATATTTAAGAGGTATCAGTCATTTGTTATTTAGGAAAAAATAATTAAAACAGTGGCACAGAAAAAATTAAGAATTATGCTGCAAGAGAGAGAAGTAGGTAATTTGGAGATTATATATATAATTATATATATAATTATATATATATATA